TGGATAAATGATGATTCCTCGGTACCTACTGATGTTCCTGTATTCCATTTTTCTTTCAAGTCTATACTGAACCCGGTAACGAATATCTACATAACCAAAACTCCAACTTTAGTGTCTTTCCGATGTGCATATACTAACTTCGATTCTAACAATATACAGTATGATCAAAAGATTGGAAGTTGGTTGGATAAAGGAGAGTTGCAAAATATATTAACGCGCACCTCTCACTAGGCGTTTGCGGAAGTTTAGTTTCATATTTTTTTCGAAAAGTATAGTCATAGGATTGAGTTGGGAAAAACCGCTGTCGACTTGGAACGCTCATGAGTTTTAGCACGTTTATATGAGTGGGATCGTTGATGAGTTGTGTCGTTGATGAGATTTTTTCGGGGGCATATTGTGATTTGTTTGATGTTTTCTGAAAAACATTTTCGAGATGTTTTGCTAGCGGACCTATGATAAGACCACTAGATTTTGTTTACGAACAAATCACATTTTTTGACATAGTTGACTAGTGACTACTAGTTTTGCGATTCGGAGCAATTTTTCGTGTTATTATGTAATTACTTTTCCATAATTATTTTCACATTATTCGATGTATAAAAAAAACTAGTCATAGCATGGGTCTGAAAATTCCCAATTTGATTGAAATATCCATACTGAGTATATTGGTGGAAAAAAATCTTACATCGACGGTAATAATTTCGAATTAGAGGGTGATGAAAAAAATAGTGGTTTTTGAATATTTTTTCGTGGTTGTCAATTTTTTCAATCGATGAATCACTCTGTATATCATGGAACTCATTGGGATACATCCTTCAAAAATATTTTGAATGTCTGGATTCAACCCGATAATACGAGGTGGCCCAATGAACTTTAGGATAGACCAATTATGCAATCAACAGCATTAATGAAACACCATGTATAATTATTATATTTTACGAATTCAATTGATGTAAGAAGAGCATACTTGGCTATAAATCTCATTTTGTAATTGTTATCAATTTGTAGCATTGATATTCAGATATTCAAAAAAACACATTATTTGAAATGAGAATCACCCTGTAATAAAAATCAGTTTTGGTCGAATACCTATATAGTTCTTGCGCCTAAGGGCATAACTATTACGTGCTCCCGAAAAATTGGAATTCATTTGTCCTATCTTAGAGATATAGGCCGAGAAAAATTAGGTATTCTTCAACTTCAACACCCTGTATCTCGTAAACTAGTCATGGGATTGAGTTGGGACTTGGCATATTCAATCAGTATGTCGAGTACTATCATTTACCAAAAATTGGGGAAATTCGACGGAACGCCATTTTTATATAGAAAAAGTGCGGGGTCCTTTGTGTTTTTCATAAAAAGTATATAGATTTTTTATGAAAAGTATGAATTTTTTATGAAATAATTGTCCGAGTAATTGTCAGAGGGTTAGGTTTATATTTCATAAGGGCTCACGTGCCCTTGAGTCACCGAAAAGTGGCAATAACCCCAGAAAATATCAAAATATTGAAAGTATGATGTGGCTTCGGAAATAACCAGCAAAATTGAAGTAATCACATGTGCAGTGACACTGACACAACAAAATTTCAACTGTCAAGTCAACCAGATCGTGGAACACAACACTTTTTTAATTCATGTCCGATTCTGGTGAAATCTCACACAAATCGTAGATTTAGGTTTCGTTATGGTGAACTGAATCTTAGTTTCCAAAAAATCTGATTATTATGCAAGGAAAAACAAAAGTTACTATTTCACGCTCAACTTCATAACGCCTTGTAGCAAAAGTGAGTGGTAAAACCGGTTTGGATTAAAGTGTGATCCCTTTCCAACATTATTGATTTTTGATTCACGTCGATATCTTGTTTTTGAGAGAAGATACAAGTGTCTTAATAAAATATGGATTTCTTAAATTTGCGGAACCTTCATGAACTTTGTCGATGAACAAACACGAAATAACATCCAAAAATTGATATAACTCATTTCTACCTCATTTTTCTGCACTCACCAGCAAAGAGAAACCTTGATAACTAAGAAAAAAAAACGGGAACAGACCTCCTAGATGTGGTCAAATTTTTGCACTGTTCCTTTAATGTATGGAAGTTTCAAGTCACGATTTTCGAGTGTTTGCAATATGTCTTAAACAATAGGGAATTTCACCATGATTTTTTGAATTTTTTTTCGCGATTCAGAACACATACTGGGTGAATTCAGCATTTTTTCAATTTCCTCACGATTGCGGTTGATCCAGAAGAAAATTATTAAATTGAACCTGAATTCAAAGGATAGCTCGAATGCGCGCGAAATATTGATGGCATTTCATTGGACGAATACAAGGTGCGTCACACCGCGTCATATACTTCGGACGGACATTCTCATTAGGTATTTCGTCTTGTCACACTTGGTCTTGGCACCATTTGTTGTATTTGTCACTCAATAAAATCTATAATATGATACTGATAGATCACTGAAAATGAAATGAAATAATGAACTATGAACTACATTTCGAGGTTAATCTTCTTCTTCTTCTATAGTTTGTTTTGTAGCCATTTTTCTCTCGAGTCACAGATCACCCAACCACTCTGTGCTCGAGTTCTGTGTGTGTGGTTTTGTCCAATGCATCCTCTTTGGGTTGTCAGAGGGAGCCTCAAAAAAATACGAGTGATGTCACACCGTGAAAAATGGTCGTTTGGAACTCTCTCAATTTGTAGCACTTTTGAAGAATTAATTAAACGGTTGTAAAGAAATCAATAGATGAGAGGAAGTGCTATTTGATATACTGAGTCATCTATGAGACCGTTCGCCATATAAAAGGGCTATTTTCAATCATATATAGTGAAATTGCCTATTATCAATTTATGCTCGTACGCAGCGGCGTCACCAATCCAATTTGACTTTGCATTAAAAATTAATGATTTTGAACGATCAATAAATGCATGCAGATTGGTTCTTGTTGAAATTTGTAGGAAAATGATACTGCGGAAAAAAATTGCATGTCTGCCCTCACGTAGGAAGACATGAAACTATCAACTGAACATTCGATGAAGAGGGGGGCATAGTTATTTAACGTATTTTCTTTCGCAGATTTATTTGTGGTGTTATTTGTATCACGATAAGCTACTTTGAATACAATTGTGACGGGCACATTCACTGTAGAAATTTCTTAAATGAGCACTTTTTTTGTAATCACCGAAAGAAGAGATGTACCTACTGACAGCTTATAGAATGTATCCTTTGAAATAACTACTACAAAATCTTGACCGCTATAGGCGCTATATGTCATATCCCAGCAACTCGAAAGCCTCATCCAAATTGCTCGCCTGAAAACGTTTCTGCTCAATGCGCAGGTACCCCCAAACTGTCGTTCATAATAGCGAGTCATGTTTCTTGGTGTTCGGAATAAGTAAGAGAGAGTAAGATATATGACAGGCCCAAAATGCGCATAATTCATGTTCTGCAAATCGATCTCGTGAGTGGCATATAGCTTCTTCTAACTCAATCTTGACTTTTCGAGAATAGTTTTATGTAGAGTCACTTGATGGTATTAGTTTGATAAGAGTTCGGTCACAGCTGAACTTTTGTTCTTTTCTATTTTCTATAATACAATGGTTAAGATATATATTCTGCTCTCTGTCTTTTCAATTTCCCTAGTAGCGCCTGATTGTCAGATACGACTTTAGAGGTTATATTTTCTGTCAAATCAACCATAGCCGTAGATGGACAATGGAAATAGGGTACAAACACCCACTTCAATTTATAGTGATACACTTCTAGCAGAACAACTGTTATATGAATAGAAGAATGCATGTATTAATAATATTAGAAAATATACACATATGGATAAACTTATAGCTATAATTCCTTATTGAATGTGAAACTGTAATCCAGTATGATAAGAGTAAAACTTGGAGATATGAATATTAAATTGAAGGTAGGTATTCCTAGGTACAGTGAAGTATTCCTGAGACAATTTTAAGAAATAAATAAGTCTATATAAGCTTGTATCCGGAAATGCTTAATTTCGGAGATACAGGGTGTTGAAATACAGAAAACAAATCATTTTTCGATAAACATTTCATGGGAAACAAATAGTTTATTTTGACGATACCTACCACATACTTGGTTTTGTAAAGTTCTCAGCAACTTTACTTAGCGCCCTAGCTAAAAGTAACATGGATCGATATAGAAAATTATTGTAAATATCTCCGAAACGATAACCTCCAGCGTAATAAAGACCCTTATAATAATTCCCTTGATACATGAATAACTATTCACTTTTCATTGTTAAATTTTGAATTTGGTCGGTACCAAAAACGCCATTCAATAATATATCACGATGTAGTTTGCTTGCTTTTCTCAGTTTCGTTTTCAAATTTTCAATTTTGCGATCAATTTCCTCTCTTTCCATGATTATTTTGTTTTGTATTTTGTGTGATAATAATAATGGAATTTTGTTCTTGAAATCGTCTGCTTTGTAAATTGATGGAACAGCAGATTCTTTCAAACATATTTTGAAATCTTTTGTTTGAAAATGGGCCTAACATATAGTTTCATTCTTATTAGATGCTGTTATAAGAAGTGAATTTCAATGAGTACCTCACAAATTTTGCTCGTCTTCAAATTGATTTTCAACCCAGGCCGTTTCATATCTTCCTTCGATAAGCGAATGGTTGATATTTGTTTTGGAAAATAGAATCAATGATATCCATTTTTTTTCAGAATTGGCACAATTCATTACACAGCAAGTATAATTATGAAATTTTATTTTAATTCTGTCGTTTATAAAATTTATTTTCAAATTCATACAATTTTGAATGAAAAAGCGCGGGACGACTATGGTACTCTTGTCACAATGCAAGGTGTGTACTTTGATAAATATAAATATTCAAGAACCCTAACCGTTGTCATTTCTGTGCCTGAACTCTTATCATACTAATACCATCCAGTGACTCTAGTTTTATGATGACCACAATGACCACAGTTATTATACCTTCTTCACTTACTTTATATGCTCCTCCATTTGCACGGTCTTCAGCTCCAAAGTATCTCTGGCACCCTTGTGTAAAACTATATCCTTGTTCAGTTCTTCGATCAATTTCGAATGCGATTCGATGTTCTTCAACAACTTTGCCTTCTCGTTCTCATATTGAACTTTCAGTTCTTCATACCATCTACAAAATATATTGAAATCAACAAGTGGTATTTCAATGGAGGAATTCGGGATTTTCAAATTTGTTTCAATTGCTCGATATAATGAAATGTCTGTTGATGAAGTAAGAACATGAAGTGAAATGTCTGATTCATGTTGATGGTTCGGTAATGTGGCACTGCTAACAATTTTCTTCAGTCTATGACAGACATGGTACCTACATGGTACCTACCTACTGTTCGGTATGAAGTACCTACATGATCTCACAGGCACAGGGAAGAGGAATTAACAATTTCAAATTTCAGTGACAAATAAGCCAAAACCTATCATCTGTGATAGTATATTGTTTAATTAGGATCAAAAGTACCACTTCGTTTGACGAGAGATATAGAAACAAGACCTCAGGCTACTTTACTTCGTTAGAATTTGGGTTGACATGCATCATGTCATCAGATACTACAGGCACGACTTCAATACTATACCCGAAACGTGGATGCCGTGCCATATGTATGCAATGAAACAAATGATCTGTGTGGTGAGAATATTATACCTGCATTTACAGGATTTATATCATGTTTGAACTATAGTTTCAATATAAATACAAACACAGAGATACCCATTCGTGTATGGACCAGGTGTCAGCTCTAATAGCAAATACCGCGCGCCATTCGTGCCAGTGCCAGGTAAAGGATAAAGAAGTGGAGAATGTTAGGTTAGTGGGCATATAAACGAAAATAAAAACGATTATTTATTTCTTCCTATACTCCACTGTGTTTGGCTCGGTAATCAAATGAAGATAAACAATATCGTTGTGTAAGACAAAAAAGTATTTCTTGCCGTGAGTATTCAAAAACAAGCTATATCCATCCCGAAAATAACGAATGAAATACAGATTAAGCAAGTATGTGAATCTTGATGTCACATGTATTGATCGGAACTCATAAACATGTCCAATTTTATTCACATGAATTATAGTAAATCAGGGTCTATACGAGGCACGTCAAAAAAATCATTTTTTGGAAAAAAAAATCTAGCACTATTCCCAAAATCAACAAGTTATATTTTGGTGAGACATTATAGTGTTAGTCTATTGTTGGCTTCGAAAACGTATTTTGATATTTTCCTAATGAGCCATCCCACAACAACATAGTAAAATTTCAGCATATTCGACCAAAAGCCAATTCCCATGTTTTCGTGCAAGGTCCTGATTTCGCACGTAAAAAAATGGAAGATTTGATACAATAAACTGGTTTTTGATGGAATCTGTGCGTTGATGATTTGTTCTTCCAATTTGAGAATCGTAGATTTCTTCTCTTTGATGAGTTGGTCATTGAATATCCAGTTGAAGGTATATTCTCAATGTGATTCGGAACGCTCATAGCTCTACTACTACCAGTTACGAGAAAATAAGGATCTTCTTACTTCTTGCATTCGTTCACGCTGGAGTTGTGCAATGAGAGAGGGATGAAATTATGTATCTGAGTCCGGAACTCTTCTTGGGCATCTGTTAGCGATTTGTTTTTCTCCTTAATGGCTGCGTTCTCAGTTCTGCATCTCATGAATTCTCTATGGAGCACCTCGAAGTCCCTCTTCATTTGTTCGACTGAAAAAAAAAACAATCAATCCTATATAAATTCGAAAAATTATTGTTTGTGAATTGTGAATTCATAATATGAAATTTGAATACGAATCATACAATGGGAATGGAAACACTGAAAATAGAATAATCAAGAGAATAATGAAAGACAGAACAGTGTGTCCAGTTTTCGATGCTTTTGCGTGATATCTCAGTTATCTCTCGAGATAGAACCTTGCCGTTTCCGCAGTCTTATGCCACTTTTTTGTAAAACTCAAGATGGCCCAATCAGATTTTGCATAACTGTTTTCGTTTATGAGATACAGGACGATTTTGAAAATATATACATTTTGGACCACCTCTATATCTACGAAGTTTCTCAGCGAAAATGTCAAATTGAAATCTCATCTCATAGAAAATTTTACGCAGAATTCAGTGGGGCACTCAAAATTTTTTGTCGGGGTATGGTTTTGGAGATACGACTCAAACTTATGATTTTTCAAATGGAACACCGTGTATTTTACGAGCTTATTGAATTCCTCATTTTTTTCTCTTCAAAATGATATATATTGTATGAATATGAAATTTTTCGGTGGCAGTTCGTGATTTGTTCAAACAGATTTACATTGTGCAAGAAATATAAATTTTACTCGTTTCTGGAGTAACAGTTACACAAAAATAATTTTTCAGATCATTTTTAATAACAGCCTTATGGTACTTGATTGACATTTCTAGCGAATTTACGAAGTTGTTGAAAGATATTTATGGCATTTGACACATCGTCAGCAAGAGGATAGACCATTGAACATTTGAGGGAGTTGCAAGATCCTGGTCGCTTTTGTTTTTTTTTGTAGCCATGTAAAGTCACAGTTTTAATTCGAGTTTTACATATTTCGAAACTTTGCGAGTGAATTAAAAAAAACTAGATGACTTATGTCACAAGTTTCGTATTTTAAAGTAGGTACTCTAACACAACACACATCTGTATAAAATAAAAATTCAGGGTCTACGCCTCATCCTTTTCTAAAAATTTGTATGTGAATGTGGAATTTGGGTGTATTTTTGATAAACAGATAAGAAGACGATTGAAAATAATCCACAGGGCATGAAAGGTGATAACTAGTCTTAAAGGATAGCAGATGACCCCTTCATTCGACCATTGCAATTTGGCACACGATGCACCAAACACCCTGTATAATGCATGAATATAAGATTTTCAATAATGCTTCAAAATCACTAGAACATTGAATATTAATAGTGGGCTATGGATTTTTCATATAAAAAAGTTCCAATTGAAGGAATACTTCTTTTGATTTTTCTATGAATAGGACAAAACAATACCAATTAGTGATGTACCTGAAAGCAACAAATAGATAGTAATAGGAAGTTCATAATATGGAATAATCACCAGATTAAATATTTACAAAATTAATTGAATTTCGAAATTATTCAGTAACTCTTTCATTGAATTGTTGAAATTTATGTCCATTTTTCCTGAAACACAATTGACACAGTTTCTCAATACGTCTCAATACAGTAAGAGGCACAACAATTTTGAAGAACTTGCAACAACAGAGGCAGTTTTCCAGGAATTACAAAGACATCCTTCAATGATTTTGAATGCATTAAGACGTACTGAGAAAGTGTGTGAGGGAAAATACCAAAACATGAATATACGATATGGTCGAAATTTCAACAGAATCGGACAAGAATTAAAAAAGATACAGGGCGAACAATTTCCCTGAGTTTTTTGGTGGCCTGTTATTTTTGCCGGTGAGTGTACAATTGACGCTTTCTGAAATACAACTGGAGAAGGTATTGATAGAAAAATCACACTTTATGCCTTGAAAGAGAGGAAATAATGAAATATTCTATAGCTAGTGATGGAAAAAGTTCTATATACAGCGCTTTCGTAAGGAACCTACTGAATACATTTATATCCATTTCTCAGAAATCTCCCGAAAGAGGATGTTTTTAATTTTCAATTCGTCACATTTACAAGTTACGCCTTGAAAAGAGTAAATAATGGTAGGTTCTATAGCTAGTGGTGGAAAAAACAGTTTTTTTGAGAAGAGAGAAGCGTTGTTGGTATGCTTATAAAAAACTGACAATATCATTGTTTCAGAATATGTAGATTCTTAAGATCTTTTTGATTGCCTGATAGGAAATTTCTTACCTTTGGCCTCGTACACTTTTAGAACCTCTTCGACCCGATCCTGTTTGATCGAGCATTTTTTGATGAGAACATCATTTTGGTCTTTTGTAGCCTTCAACTCTGCCCTCAGATTTTCAACTTCCACCTTCGACAAAAAAAAGGGGTTTCAAGACACTAGTGGTATACAATGTGACCAAAATAAGGTTATACTACATGGTGATATTGGTGATTTCGGAAGTACGCTTCCGAGATCACCATGCTGTACAACCCTATACAGGGTCCTGCATCTCACCTTCCGTCTTCTATTGTTATCAGTTGAGTCAGAATTTTGATATTTTGCAGACTTCAATGGTATCATAGGCCGCATACCCATATACATATTAATAAACAATACGGATCATAACGGGTGCCAGGATGAAGCCAAAAATATGAAACAAATGAATATCCATAAGGATTTGGTGGCATGATACGCATGCGCCATGCGCTATTATAGTAGTCATCAAAGACATGCGTTTCGGTGGACAATGACGTTTACTAGCCTTTCAATCAGAGCAGTATGTGTCTGATCGTTTCAAAACTTTTCCTTATGGATAGTCATTTGTCTTCAAAAATCGGCTTCATGTTTCGCTATGGAAACAGATAGAGATTATCCGTATTGATTATTAATACGTATATGCGCATACCAGGAAGATAATTTCGATTATATAGGGTGTCCAAAATAGTGTGACGTCATAATGATATATATTTTTTAAAGGCATGTCATATATTTTGTTGCACATTTGGGTGCTTCTAATGGTTACCTGCATACTTCTGGAATTTAACACCACTGGCCAAAAACTTTAATAATTGAAAATGATAGTGCCTCCTCAATAGAATCATAAGAGATACATATCAAATAAGGCATAAGAGGATCGCCAACCTAGTTTGATTGACACGAATCATCACAGGGGGTGCAACATTTATTGGCAAACTTTTCAAACTTTGAAGCACTATATTTTTTTCATTTCGAATTGGAGCCCCTGTATATATATCTATTTTCATGGAATTGAAAAACAAATTTTCAATCTCATCGAAATTGTCATCGTATCAAAAGTTATTTGTCGAAAATTCGTTTCATCAACTATTCTGATAGTGATTTTAATGAATAAAAAACGAAGGTGTCTTTGAGAAGTGAATTATTCACATTTAACTCTAATGAAGTGTCAGGAGTCTATTTGGGCTTGAGTAGTTCAAATTCAATACATTGTTAGCACATTATTATACATTTTTTGAGCTGTTTATAACGAAATTCGTCATGGAGTACAACCAAGAAGAGCTCGTAGATATGATTTTAATATTAGGAGAATGTAAGAAAAACTCTTTTTTCTGCAACCGACACAAAAGTCGTCCATTTTGATACCAAAATTAGCTGTTAAATTGACGTTTCTATTACTGACACAAAAATAGGTATGTTGCTAGGCAACATATTTAGTTCCTAGGAACTAAAAAAGATGTACTGGACGTCATCAAGGATAATAGTAGATTGTTTTATTAGGATCAAAAGTGACACTTTGTTTGACAAGCGAATTTTGCATTTGCGAGACGGAGCGTTTAGCGAAGCCGAGCGAAAGGTAAATTTGCGAGTCGAACAAAGTCACTTTTGATCCGAATGAAACATGCTATTTTTTCTGCAACCGAAACAATTAACTCAAATAAACATGTAAAGTAACCACTAATGCCGTACCATATGTATGCAATGCAACAAATATTGACAAATAATCCATGTGGTGAGAATATTCTACCTGCATTAACAGCAGGTTAGGTTTTCTAGGATGTTCGAATTGTGGTTTCAATATAAATACAACCACAGAGTGACATATTTGTGTATAAACCAGGTGCTCTAATGGCAAATACCGCGCCAGTGCCAGCTATAGGAACAAGACGTGGAAAATGTTAGGTTAGTAAGCATATCAACAATGATAATAGTGATTATTCATTCATCTCCATACTACACTGTGACTTGATAATCGAATGAAGCTAAACAATATCGCTGTTTGAGACAAAAAAACTATTGCTTGCCGTGATTATTCAAAAACAAGTTATCCATCCCGAGAATAACGAATGAAATACAGATCAAGCAAGTATATGAATCTTGAAGGCTTCCCTGATCAAAACAAAAATACTTAACTGACATGTTTATAATTCCAATACTAAACTATAATAAGGTGTATTTATATCTCCAGCATGGGTATGAAATGCCAAATCTGTTGAAATCGGAAACAAATCAGGTATGCGTCTCAACCCAAATAACCAATCGTCACAATGTTGTTCATTCTTGATGACGTCCAGTAGATCCTTTTTAGTTCAACTTCAGCTCCTAGGAACTAAATATGTTGCCTAGCAACATACCTATTTTTGTGTCAGTAATAGAAACGTCAATTTAAGAGCTGATTTTGGTATCAAAATGGACGACTTTTGTGTCGGTTGCAGAAAAACAACATTGTGACGGTTGGTTATTTGGGTTGAGACGCATACCTGATTTATTTCCGATGTCAGCAGATTTGGCATTTCATACCCATGCTGGAGATATAAATACACCTTATTATAGTTTAGTATTGGAATCATAAACATCTCAGCTAAGCATTTTTGTTTGATCAGGGAAGCCTTCAAGATTCAAATACTTGCTTGATCTGTATTCCATTCGTTATTCTCGGGATGGATAACTTGTTCTTGAATAATCACGGCAAGCAATAGTTTTTTGTCTCAAACAACGATATTGTTTAACTTCATTTGATTATCAAGTCAAACACAGTGTAGTATGGAGAGGAATAAATAAATCACGTCTTGTTCCTATAGCTGGCACTAGCGCGGTATTTGCCATTAGAGCACCTGTCCCATACAACTACAATTCGAACATCCTTGAAAACCTAACCTGCTGTTGATGCAGGTAGAATATTCTTACTACATGGATTATCTGTCAATATTTGTTGCATTGCATTCAATTGTTTCGGTTGCAGAAAAAATAGCATGTTTCATTCGGATCAAAAGTGACTTTGTTCGCTTGTCAAACAAAGTGTCACTTTTGATCCTAATAAAACAATCTACTATTCAACACAACGTTTTCCGGAACGACGTCATCCAGACAAAAGGAGCCTGCAGAACTTATTGGATAGGTTTGTACAAACCGAAAATGTAAAATATACAGAACGAGTTAGGGCCTATTTATGCATCATAGTCTCAGTTTTAGTTAGTTTGCTTCAATCAAATTATGAGCATACATTTCAATAGGTGAATTCATGCATCATTTTTAGTCGCAGCCTCAATCATTATCATTGAATCATGACCTTGAAAGATAATTGAGACCACATAAGAAATGTGTCGACCTGTCAACATATTTGACAATCCCATATGACTTTTAATTTTGTGTTTGTCATCAAAAAATCAGTGCCATTCTGTGCTGTGTCAATCATTGATCTCATCATGAGCCTGGAACAAGGAACCCTAATAGATTTGGTAGAGAAATTTCCTCATTCTGGGGACCAGAAAGACTCAAAATACGAAGATAAAATTGCGATAAAGAATTCCTGGAAATCAATTTCCCAAATCATAGCATTTTTTTGAATTGATTTTTCGTCATTCTTGTGTATTTGAAGAATTGACCTTCATCTAATTCTCCAGACTAAAGTCGTGAAGAAACCTTGTGTTTTTTTCTGTTAATGGGACGAACTCCGAATCTCTTGACTATCTTTCTTTTTTGCATCAAGCAAACAAGAGTGGCAAGATTCTAACAAATAAATGACGAGTAATTCCAATGATCTACTTTTTCGAATTCGTAAGAGATTTTTGCGAAGAAAAACAATTAACTCAAATAATCCTCAAAATTTGCTAAAAATTCTGCTCCAAAACAAAATGTTAGAACTGGCATTCGACATTATATTGACACCTCAGTTGACACTTTCGACGAATTGCCAATTATTGTCATATCATAATTTTTGAGTCTGAATACTGTGATGTATAAAGGTACAAATATGATGAATGAACGACAGAATATTCGATTTTTTCAAAAAGTGGTTCACAGGGTGTTATTGGTGATACATTATATTATATAGCTCTCAAGACTTTCTTCTGATCTACGAAAGCTCTATCAAAGTGAGGTGGAGCACCACAAAATAATAAACCATATTGGAGGACTGCATGAAAGACTCATAATAGAGAAGTTTCAATATGTGAAATGAAGTCTACAAAATATCAAAATCCTGACTCAATTGATAACTGAGCTATAGAAGACGGGAGGTGAGATGCGGACCCTGTATATCTTGGTCACAGTATAATAAGAATCCTCAAGGCACACTCTCACATTCCCAAAATTGAAAAAATTTTGGAAATAGGAAATTATTCGAAAATTTCTAATTTCTGAAAATGTCTTGTGAATCTCACACCTTCAACTTTGAGCTGCACCCTTCGTCCTCAGTCAACTTCCGGTGCAAGCACTCGTTCTCGCTGATTATCTCCTTCAATCTGCCAGTGAACTTGATCATCTCGCTGTCATAATTCTGGATAATCTCCTCCTTCTCTTTGACAGTGTCCTCGTAAGCGTCTAATAGCGGCCCTAGAGCATGCCTGTGAAGGCAAACCGTCGATATTTCTAAATCTGATTTCGTTATACAGGGTGTTTCATGAGAAGACTCACATAGCCAAATGGTTAATAGGGAAAATCAAGACGAGTATATACACATAAAGTCAGCATCATATGGGAAACACTTCTATTAATGACTTATTTTGAAATTCGAGTCGGACGTCGTATTTTGCTTCAAGAAAGATGGAAAATGGCCTACTCAATCGGGGTCACGTGACTTTCGCTACATGTAAAAAGTGACATTTTTTCAAATTAATCGCTGAAAGTAGGCTTATTTGTTCGAATATAGAAAAAGTTTACTTGCAAAAGTTGTTTCTATCTGAATTTTACATATATATGACTCGGATTTTATCTTCCTATTACATTTATTAGATTTCGATATTTTTCATAAATTTTCGAAATTTCTGTAATATTGAAAAAATTGTGAATTCGATAAAACTACTTCATACCAGTAGATTCATCATGATACTAACTTTCAATTACTAATTATCACTAATTATCGACAAAAATATGATTTTCTTCAGAAAATGATAATCTTCGCTTCAAAATTCTGTTATGTTTGATGCAAACATAACATCAAAATTCTGTTATGTTAAAGTCAAACATTTAGAAACGAAATTCTTCGAATTTTTTTTTCGGTACTGAAAAGATCAGTTTAAATGAATTTCGTTTCTAAATGCTTGACGATATATCAACTTTGCAAACATAACAGAATTTGGAAGCGGGTATTATCATTTTCTGAAGAAAATCATATTTCTGTCCATAATCAGTGATAATAAGTAATTGAAAGTGAGTAGCATGGAAAGGCTACTGGTATGAAGTAGTTTCGTGGAATCAACAATGCTTCAAATATTACAGAAATTTCGAAAAATTAAAAAAAAATCAAAATCTAAAAGTTGCAATAGGAAGATCAAATTCGAAAAGCATGTGTAAAAATGAGATTGAAACAACTTTTTCAAGTAAACTTTTTCGATATTCGAACAAATAAGCCTACTTTCAGCGATTAATTTGAAAAAATGACACTTGACATGTAGCGAATGTCACGTGACCTTGATTGAGTAGGCCATTTTTTATCTTTTTTGAAGCAAAACTCAACGTCCAACTCGAATTCCAAAATAAGACATTAATAAAAGTTTTTCCCATATGATGCCGACTTTATGAATGACACTGTATATGAAAACATGAGTGAATGAGTTTGTGAGCGAGGCATCACCTACAAGACGAATTGCCCTTTTTTGGACAGAATCGAACAGTTTCAGGGTATGTTTGCGTGCTGCACTCCAAATATGGGAATAGTATTCCAGGGCAGGTCGGATCTGTGCCTTATAGATCATAAGCAGCTGACTGGAAGTGAAATAGCTCCTGGCCCGAAACAGAAAACCAAGTTTTTGGGATGCACTTTTAGCAATTGATCTCACGTGATTTTCCCAAGAAAGGTTATTGCTGATAGTTATACCAAACTACTGTATATATCATGAAGAACGGCTGGAAGAATAACTGGACTTCAGGTTACTGATGAGGATTTGATATCCGAAATGAATTTATTCGAATGGAGTCATATAATCTGTTTGTGAGAGATATCATTCTCATATCACTAATACGAATGTTTTTTTTATGTAAGTTCCAAGCTCATCAAGATCAGAGTATACTTCTGATATACATTTCAATTTTCATTTGAATACTGAACATATTGGTAAGTTATATTTTTACATCATAATACATCATATTATTTTATCCGATTTGAGAGATGATGCCAATTCTCAATTTCAGAGGATCTTCATGCTCTCTTTTAGGATGTTCAATAGATTTAATTCAATGTTGCCTATAGTTCCGAAAAATGAGTCAATATTACCGTCTCCGAGAAAGAACTGCAAGTCCTTTTAACTTCCATTCGACTTCGCGGTTACGTATATTACTAAACAACCACTAAATTCGCAATTGGTGGCAAATAGCCAGGAAAGTAGTTTCTTCTCTTGAATAAACCATGGAAAAATTTATATTTTCATCACATAGAGAATTCGAATTCCCAATGCATTTCTTTATATATGTATCCATTTTTTTATGTTCATAATTATATCTGAGAATATTCCTTTTCAAAGCTATTTATTATTTCAAATGACTGTTAATTGGTCTATTTCAGTAAATTGTAGAATCTCAATGGTTCTTAGAATATACCTGCATCACACAACATTGATAGTTTGTATGCCATCTGTATATCTATACCTGTTGGCGCTACCCCACGTCAATGGGGTGTGTTTGTGGGTCCTGTGGACCTCCGATAGGATTTCTCTGCTGATGTTGACCAACGATGTGTCCGAAACGTCTCTGTCGAGTGTCACATCAGACTGACTGTATTTCGGTACTGTCAAGCTGTTTTTCCGCAGGATTTCTTGGTACCTCTCGAGCTGTACATTCAATCTGGAAAGGTCGAAAATACATACGGGTGATTTAATCTTCATTTCAAGGAACGTTATGCAATAGATACAATTCAACACAAAACATTAAATGAAAAAACGACACAAAAATGGTACATTTGATAGGACGTAAACCTAATATTCACATCATACAAAATCATACATACATAAATGTACAGGGTATCCCAATTTGGGCACTTTTGCGGGGTATCTCCCTTATCAGTAACGATAGAGCATTGCGGTTTTCGCGACAGTGTGCTACTTTTTTATGAAATTAATAATGGCGCAAGCAGAATTGTGATAGCTCTTCCGGTTGTCGAGATACAGGGTGGAATTGAAAAATATCACTTTTCAGGCACCCTCCGTGTCTCAGTTATCTTTGAACTTATCGAAGAAGTTAAAACTTGTTTTTATAGAGTTTTTCTCGTAGAATCCAGTGGCGTAGTTATTTTTTTGCTAGCACCTTTTGTTTTTTAGTTATGGAGCAAACATATGTTTTTTTAGATGGAACACCCTGTATATTATTCCATATATTCACTAAGCATGAAGTGGGCTTTCCAAAAATATATAACTGTACGCGCTATTGTCAGTTTCTGATTATTAGTGAAATATTATTGCTGTTTCGGTATTTCTAATTCCCGATACAAAATATTTAATTCATTTTACAACACTTTGGCGGTTTACGATGATAATGAAAAGTATGATATTTTGGTTTGTTTTATACAATCTAATGAAAATCCGCAAGAAGCTTCGGAATTATATTTACAAAGGTAACATATTCTGCAACTGGTAGATCCAAGTCTGATAAATAAAAAATAAAAGGTGCTAGCAAAAAAATAACTACGCCACTGGATTCTACGAGGAAAACTCTATAAGGCCAAGTTTTAACTTCTTCGATGAGTTCAAAGGTAACTGAGACACGGGGGGTGCCTGAAGAGTGATATTTGTCAGTTCCACCTTGTATCTCCACAACCGGAAGAGATATCACAATTCTGCTTGTGCCATTATCAATTTCATATAAAAGTAGCAAACTGTCGTGAAAATCGCAATGCTCTATCTTTTTTGATAAGGGAGATACCCCGCAAAGGTGCCCAAATTAAAATGGAATCCCCTCTTAACCCTCTCGTTTTCAGAGATATGAAAAAATGTTGAATGAAAAAGTTAGGTGAATCGACCCTAACTTTCATTTTGTGAAGTTGTTTCATATACAGGGTCATTCGTTTTTCCAGAAAGGACATCAACTTTGATTTTTTCAACGGAACACCCTATATATAATTTACGACATGCCCATAGAGCTTTTTTTTTTCTTATTTCAAAAATATATATGAGTTGCATATTTGGATGAAACATAGTTGAGCTATTGATGATTGGAATTTACAATAATACCATAATTATGACCCTTCACTGCATTTCATCTAATGTAAGTTGAATATAGTGGGCTTTCAAATAACGTTTATACATATATTGTTCAAGCTTCATGAAAATGTCATAGTATTGTTTGATATGGGATTGAAATCGTCCAATCTCAATACAAAAAATATGAATAGACGAAAGATTCCGTAAACTTTGATAGTCAATAACTCAATTATTTTCCAGCTCATATACAGGGGGTTCCATTTTACGAAGCGCACCCTGTACGACATTTAAATGAATAACATAATCTAGATATCATGAAATGACTGAAATACAGATAGAATAACATAATTATGACATTATACTGTAATAATATTCCCCTTGAAGGGGCTCTAGAAACATCAGCAGAAAGGCAGGAGTACAACAATCATCCTGTAACACGCATCCCAGATCGTTCTCCAACCTCCCAATGATTCCTACATGCACCAGCATATTTCCGAACACTCAATATATGCCGCGGTGACAAATAACGAAACAGAAGATTCTGGAATGTTCTGGAAACAATCGATGGAACAATCAGAGAGAGAGGTATTATTCTAAGAAGCTTCTAGAACAAAAAAGAAGGAGACGGAAGATCCTTCGAGAACGTTCTCGAACCAAAGCCTACCAATGGATCATATATAAAAACGGCCGGACAACTGCCGTCAGCCAGTCGACCAGCGAGTGTCAGAGAGACAGTTATATACCGCGTGATAAAAATCGCTTTACATAAATAGTAGTTTCGAGTTCGATATAAATTAGTGTTTCCTTAATATTCAAATAAATCAGTTCGAAAATAAATAGTGTTGTGCTCGCTTCTGCACCTGAATAACGTAATGATACTATTATTGCTGTGCTGTTATAAATTCATCTACAGAATAATAATAATATTAATTCAAAAATTGTTTACTTGAAGATATTTAGTAATTCCATTTAATCTACAGTATAAGACTTTATTTTCATTAATGATCCAGAAATTGTTTTCTTGAAGATATTCAGTGTTTTTATTTCTTGAACCTCAACTGGCAGCTTCACAAAAAAATCTTAAGCAATAGTATTTTGTACTTCTTTCTGTGAGTGTTAGTCTGTGTATTGGATAGTTATAAATAACTGATCTTGTACCATATTTATGTTTGCTGTGAAAGACAGTCATTGGAAGAATGTTTATTTTTAAAGAAGAATAGCAAACACTCTTGTATAAATATTGCAATAGCTCTTAGAATTCTTATTTGTCCAAATTTTCCTCTACAATTTTCCTTCGATTTGGCAAAAGAAAAGACTAATAGCAAGTTTGACTCGCCATTCCGCTTGTCAAACAAAATGTCACTTTTGATCCTTATTGAACAATCTACTACTATTTCCGTATTCCCGCAACTGAGACATTTTTAAATTCAGCAGTGTCAAAAACAGTCAAAACAATCTAATCACTAGAATAATGAAGTGTCCTGAATTTGCATTATCTATATGATATACTTAATATAGGTATGATTATTATTTAAAATCATTATAGAATTTTGTGACCATGGAAATAATCAACGTGTGACGTTAGTAGTAGAAATCAGTAAAAGTGAAATATCTCCTATCGTATTTTCTTCCTCTAAAGGAAATATGTTGACGTTTCATGACTCAATTTCTTGACATTGAAATTTGATTTTATAGCCAGCGGAGGAAAAGTGTAAAATTGTGCTATAGGTGTCTCTACCTATGTTTGTCTCACATGATGGTCGGCATGAGAAACAAGGTATAGTGTCATTGTTCCTTATCATTCGGAAAGTTCCATTTCATTATTGGAAATTAGATGAAAATTAGCATAATTATGTTGGAATATTCTTGGATCTGAACAAATTTTATGTATCTATCTGAGTATTTTTATCTACTATTGCACTGGTGAAGGTTTGTTCAACAACGCTCTTCTTCTCATAATTATGTATAATGAGAGCATGAACAGCTACAATCATTATTCAAAATTCGAAACTCAGTTTAGATTCATTTTCATAATTCCTACCGAAAAATATCAATAATCGATTCTGAGTAATAAAAAAGTGACAATCTACAAATAGTTTTTTATTATACAAGAGAAAAAAGTAGTAGATTTTAGCTCCAGGTTGTGTTGTCTCCCGACGCGTAGCAGAGGAAGACAAAAAACCGTGAGCTAAAATCTAATATTTTTCCCGTGTATAATACTCTTTTTTTTTGTGACAGAAGAAAGGACGAATCAATATTGAGAAGATATTACATTATTTTGGAATCTGAAAATTACCGACGTGAAATTTTACGTATTTAACAGTAGGGACACCTGCGATGTAGGCATCTTTATCATTCTTTTTAATTGATCAAATATCTGATGTCACTTCTGTCAGTCTAATTCTGTGATTTGATTTTAAACAATTGCGAATTTAGTGGTTGTTTAGTAATATACGTAACCGCGAAGTCGAATGGAAGTTAAAAGGACTTGCAGTTCTTTCTCGGAGACGGTAATATTGACTCATTTTTCGGAACTATAGCACAACAAAAGCCATAAACAGTGTATATATATGTGATGTATATACGAGGAAAAAAGTAATTTATGAAAAGTGACCTGCCAACAGAGATGATATGCCAAACTTTTTTCCCCTCACAGAAAAAATGAGTTCACTGTTACCTGATTTATAACTAACTTCTAAACACAGCTCCTGGACTGTTCAGACTTCCTGAATGATCCTAAAGACAAAGCAATTGTGGGTAGGCTACCACCTGGCAAGTAGGCCCTTATGGGCCGTTTCTGCCAACCCCTGCTCTCCACATATCTACACATCAGTCTTCTAGTTGTCCTTTCTGAACTTTTCTGACCTTCTGATAAAGGCCAGTCTGATGGGGAACCAACCTAGTTGAATTCAACGCCACCAGAACTCAAGCTTATATTTTCTCTAGAGAGGCGGAACTCAGTATGCCTAATATATCATTGTCTAGTACCTTCATTTCCACGAAGTCCACTGTATCGATGCTCGGTGTATCGTGTCAATTCCATTTATTCATAAAAACATTTTTACAATACAAGGTGTATAAACAAAAATCTTCTAAAGGGGACATTGGACATGTAGAACACTTAGATACGCCACAGAATTACCCTCCAAGGGAGCCTTCAGAGGCAGCCGATGCAGGCCTTGCCGATGATTTTTTTCTAACAACCCTGATGGCAGTCATGAGGGGTCAGATAGCCGTGCGGACAGAGTGTCCATATTCTAATCCGCATTCGCTTGCCGGTCTTGGGTTCGATTCCCGTCGACTGCAGAAATTGTTCTGTCGGCCCAAGAAAGTGTTTGGGATCACACGTTAAAAGGTAAGGCCCTCGTCATTCCTTGCTCGCACAAGACTCTCGAAGACTTCTGAGGGTTGCTCGTAAGGGGGCAACCGAATGACGGATAGACCAATTTTAGAACAATTTTTAGGGAGCTGACTCCTAGGAGTAAACCTTTAATCCAGCTCATGTCAGTGAGTTGCTCAGGGCAAAAAAGATTGATCGTCGATTGATACCTTTTTCTCTCTAATTTAGCATTTTTTGTGTTGGAAAATAAAAATAAAAAACCAACTCTTGAAATTTCTCTGTGAAAGACACTATGAGGGATGAGGGGTGAGATAGGTGTGGGAGAGTGATTGGGATCTAATGATTTTGATCTAATAGACTGATTTCGTATCGGCAAATATACTAGTTTTGTTAGCCGATAGGCGTGCTATCTCCAAACAAAACAAAAAATTATTCGGAAGCCGCAATCTGGAATTTATAAATTTTAACTGAAAAATCATGATATCTGGCCTCAAAAACCCCCACTTACCAATTTTGAATGGAATCGGACCAAATCTTGTCCGACATCTTGGAGCAGCCATTTTTTTTAATTTCAACAAAAATTCCATTACTCCGATTTACTTGAAATTTGGCAAGTGTTCATAATTTCGGTAACAATACATTATGTTGAAATTTATAAATTCAAGATGGCGACTTCCGAATAATTTTTTGTTTTTTTATAAATGACGATAACTCCGTTGTTATCAACACAAAACTATTACTGCGACATATCATCTGTAAGAGAAAAAAAAGTTATTTGTAACCAAGTCATAGTGAGCTATGACCTACATTTGAAATACTGAAGTTGGTGCTGATATCTCAAATTCTAGAAAACTTGGTATAAATTTCATATTTTTTTCGAAATCACTTTGAAAAACTGCCATGAGAATGTGAAATTTTTATTTGAATATAACAAATTACCAGATAATATAAAAAATTGCAGAAATACAATAAAATTCAAATACCATCTTAAAAAATTTATCATTTCTGAACGAAATAGATGACTTACTTTTGATTCATATTGAAATTGATTTTTGCTCAGCAATATGAAATGATTTGTCAAAATTTAATAATTAATGTTTTCAAATATTTTATTGTTCATCAGTTTATTATAATTGTATAGTTTTAGGTATTATTGTTAACTATACTTCCTTATACCAGAACTTGATTCTGACTGGAAGTAACATTTTCAATAAATAAATAAATAAATAAATAAATAAATGATCAGAATCTGTTTTTTGCGTATAAAACAAAAACGAATAGATTTTATCAACATATTTTTTCACATTATAGTTGGCCTTGACAAACTCCACATTTGGTGTCATTTAACCGACCTCGTATCTCTCACCATTAAAAAGATACCCATGGTGAGCATGGTAAGTGGGACAACCTGTATACCGAACGAGTTTCGCAATTATATATCGATTCGATTCAAAATTTGTAAGTGGGCGTTTTCGAAATAGAAAATTATCATTCCTTCGTCAAAATTAGGGAATTCAAGATGGTAGATCCAAAATTGCAGACGAATTTTGTGATTATGTTCCGATTCTATTCGAAATTTTCATCTGGGGTTTTAGGAGTCGGATATTATGAATCTTTCGTCAAAATTGGGAAATTCAAGTGAACTCAAAAGAAGTTGAAAAAAATGGTAGTTTGAAAAACAGAAGAAACACGCTTTTATAGACAGCGAAACTGAAAAAAAATAGAAAATAAAATAATAATAGTGTCTTGATGAATATGGAACTGAAAAAATATATTATAGAAATAAAGTATATAGCAAAACGACGTTTGCGAGGTCTGTTAGTTCTGAAATACATCGATCAACACTATACCACAACTCGTTCGTCTAAGAACCGGCAAATCTTTGGAATCCTTTGCCAATGGAAGTATTCCCAATAAGAACTTATAACCTACAAGAGTTCAAAAAAAATTGAACATCTACCTACTTTCCAAGTCCTCTAGGTACACACGATGTTCTTCTTCGAACAGGACTTTCCTTTCGTGCGCGCCAAAAGTTAAAAAATATACAATACAATAGAAATCCAGACTACTCCATAACGTTCCTAGTTAAATAGAATTCAACTCGATTAAATGGTCAATAATCACCTGTAGACCACCGTTTTTAGCATCTTCAAATCCTCACTCAGCTCGACATCCTTCTCCTTCAGCAAACCGTTCTCTTTACTGCGCATCTCCACCTCCTCCTTCAGACTTTCGCAGCCCTTGCAACACTTGCTCAGCTCCAGCAGCCGGTTGGCCTCCTCGTACTGCCCCAGCAGCTGCCGATTGACCTCCTTCTGCTGCCCCAGCAGCCGGTTGGCTTCCTCGTGCTGCTCCAACAGCTCGTCCAGGTGTCGCCTCACCTCGCAGTTTTCCTTTTCGAGGCTGGCGTTGATCGCTTGCAGCGCAGTCACTTTATCGCGCAGCTTCACTATTTTCTTCACCGAGAGCTCTTCCAGCTCATGAAACCTGGCTAGCACCTGGAAGAATGACATTCAGAAATTGATAAAGGAGTTATGTCGGGATAGCCAAAACTCAGTTTTAATCTTCTCCTGAAGATGCTAACATAGTTAGCGAAACACGTGTCGAGGCGTTAAAAAATCGGTTTGGTTAGTGGTAAGACAGTGTAGTGTATTATCGTGCCAAAGGTTCCAGTCTTCGATATATTGGTAAAGTAGGTTCTCTAAAATGGGAAAAATCACAAGAAAGAATAGAATAAAGAATTAATATATGGTGGGTATTTTGTGTTGTATTTGTAATACAAAGTGATTTCAAAAAAATGGAGGGAGATATGTACTAGATAATGGCTTCAAAGAAAAATATTGGTAGGTGAGTCCTACCTATGATTATTGATGAAGTCAGATTGGATATCCCATTGTAAATTTCAAGACTACTTCAACGTATACCTGCAGGAAATAAGGTGAGATCATAACAAAGTCTCTAGTCAACCAAGCATAAATTTGGGATTGGTACAAGACAAAAATATCCCAAGAATTATCCGGAATGGTCCTCTGTCCAATTACCAGGACATACATTTTTGAAACACAACCTCACTTTTCTTATTTGTTTACAAAAGTGATTGAAATAGTTTTTCACAATCATTTTGGCATACAAATCGTATTTTTCGGCTATTCATTAATTCGCTTATGCCATCACATTGTGCTGTTGTGCAATGCACAAAAACTGCAGCAGAAGACGAAGGAATCCTGTTGGTACATTATGATTTAAAAGTAAGTAACTAATATAGTCACTTACATATAGTTTTCATTCTTGAAATTTGGTAATTTCTCTGATTTCTCATCGGAATTCCTTTTGCAATAGGAGCTTATAGAAATACACGTGAAATTTCTGCAAGATTGGATTCATGCAATCAAACGGGTGGACTGAGAAGACTGGTCGGACATGCTGACGAAATATGATCGTGTGTGTTGTAGACATTTTCAATCTATTAGCAGTATTAGCTCATATTGCAGAAGTGGCAGAAGGAATTTTGATAAGAAATGACAACATTTCATAATGATAACTATGTGAGATCAACCTGGAAAAATCATATTCCTTCGTCTCTCGCTGCATTTTTTGTGCATTGTACAACAGCACAATGCGAAGGCATGTTTGAATCAAAGAATAGCGCAAAAACATGATTCGTATGCCAAAATATTGTGAAAAAGTATGTCAATTCTTAGATTCCTCTGTAAACAAATAAATAAGTGAGGTTATGTTTCAATAATTCATAGAAGAGTGAGGTTGTGTTCCAATATTTTACCTCCAGGGTCGGTCATCGTGCACGCGAACTAGAAAAAGAAAACAAGTTCTAAATTTCAGCTGCTGTTTGACGTGACGTCACTGATGACATCACAGATCTGTAGTTTGATCAGTTTGATCAAATTGTTGGACCGTGAGACACATCCTGGGGAAATGACATTCAGAAATTGATAAAGCTGTCAGATGAGTGACAGTCCAAATAAGGATCAGAATTCAGATCACTCCAGAGAAGCTCGACGATGTAATGTTTTTATAATGCACTGTAGAGCAGCACAAGCAGAGTGCAGAATCTGTAAGGAAGAGGAAGAAACCTCCATCCACAACCTCTCAAACTGATTAGCTCTTCGCCCCGTCACTCGTAGGAGAAGGAAAGCTTTTGGCCTTCTTCGTAGACGAGAACAGGGATCGGAATAGCAATCTTCAGAGACCTGAACGAGAAGGGTCTTTGTTAAAATATATCTAACCACGGAGTCTTTCTGATCGGTTCTTAATTATTTGAGGAAATTTATAAATATACTTTTATATAAAGCTGACGTATATTTCAACTCAACACTCTGACATATTATATTATTACATAGTAACCCAAACAAAAACATCATATTATAACTACGTTATTTTGTGGATTCCAACACTTCCTCCCAAAATACACGTTGTTATAATTCGATTTTAATGACACCTAACATTCTTCTCATTTCCACAAATCTTGTAGAAGGCATTGGTTTCGTCATCACATCTGCGACTTGATTCGCACTACTGATGTGTTGGATCTGCATAACACCTTCTTGATACTTTTCACGAATGAAATGAAACCTGATTTCTATGTGCTTTGATCGTTTGTGAAATTCGGGGTTTTTCACTAACTTGATAGCACTGGCATTATCGATATACAGTGTTGTATTAACTTCTTGTCCAGTTATTTCTTCCAAGAGTCGCTTCACCCATACCAATTCTTTTGTTGCCTCACTTGCAGCGATATATTCGGCTTCAGTAGTTGAAAGAACAACACTATTTTGCTTTTGGCTGAACCAAGTTATGGCCGAATCAGAGAATTTACAAACTATCCCTATTCGCGAACGTCTAGTCTTTTGGTCACCTGCATAGTCGGCATCACTGAATACACTCAGTATTTCGGATTCAGGGTTCGCTTTATAAATCAGTCCAAAATTGATCGTTCCTCGTAAATACCTCAAAATACGCTTAACTGCGCGCCAATCTGAACATTTTGGTGAATTGCATTTTTCTGATACAACACTCACTGCGTACGCGATATCTGGACGTGAAATAACCATCAGATACATCAGACTACCAACAGCTTCACGATATGGTATCCGACTATCTATGTCCTCTTCATCGCTTTCAGTTGAAAAGTTAGTGTCACAAGGTATAGCTACTGCATTTGAGTCTGCCATATTGAAGCGGTCCAATATTTTATTCACATATGCACTCTGATTGATGAAGATATCGCCATTGATTGACCTTTTTATCTGCATACCCAGAAAACTGTTCAAAGAACCAACAGTAATTTTGAAGTTCTCATATAAATTTCTGATGAACAATTCAATTTCATTTTCATCACTACCTACGACTAGTCCGTCATCAACATAGATTGCAACTATGAGTTTTCGTTGATCACTAGTACGTATGAATAAACATGGATCAGCGCTGCTGACTGTCATCCCTTGTTTGTTGATAAAATCAACGAATCGTACATTCCAGCATCGAGAAGATTGCTTCAGCCCGTACAGACTACGATTTAGCTTGCATACTCGCCCTGTACCATCGTCAAAACCTTCAGGTTGCCTCATGTAGATTTCTTCGTGAAGTTTTCCATACAGAAAAACGGTTTTTACATCGAACTGTATCATTTTCAACTTTTCTGATGCAGCGACACTGAGTAAAGTCCTTACTGTATCAAAACGCGCTACAGGACTGAATGTTTCTTCATAGTCAATGCCAGCTCTTTGACTATAGCCTTTTGCTACTAGTCTGGCTTTGAATCGACTCACACTCCCATCTTCCTTTCTCTTCAATTTGAACACCCATTTATTCGGAATGATTTTCTTGCCTGGAGGTAAATCAACCAAATCCCATGTGCTATTTTCACCCAGAGATTCCATTTCTTCCCGCATGGCTCTTTTCCATTGGTCGATCTCAGAAGATTCAATCGCTGCATTGTAGCTTTCTGGTGCATCACATTCGGCAAGCAATATAAAGTCTTTCAGATGTGAGGGAATATGAATTCTTCGACCACTGCGTTGCGAAATAGGTTCACGATTGACATTACTTCCTCCTGGAATCTCAGGTTCATCACTTCTTCGACTGATCTCTATGTCTTCATTATTTTCTTCACATTCTCTTGGGATCTCAGGTTCGTCAATGCTAATCCCAGAATTTTCGCTGTTTTGCTGATTCACAAAATTCTTTGCATTTGTTTCAGAACTATGAGAAACATCAACACTGTCTTCCGTATTGATTTTCATTTCAAGTTCAATTTTCTTTTCGAAGACGTGTTCTGAGCTAAAAATGATATCTCTACTCGTTATCACTTTATTTTCGTTTGGTAACCAAACTCTATAGCCATCTTTCTCTCCGCAGTACCCTACAAAATGTCCTTGCTTACTTTTTTTGTCCCATTTACGTCTTCGCTGTGCAGGTACATGAACATAGCATTTAGTTCCAAAAACACGTAAATGGTCAATGTTGACAACTTTACCTTGCCATAATTCGATGGGTGTTTTGTCCTTCACATTCGTTGGACCTGTTCTATTCAGAACATATGAAGCTGTATTGACGCCTTCAGCCCACAAATTTATTGGCAAACTTTTTGTATGCATCATAGTTCTTGCAGATTCTACTAAGGTTCGATTTTCTCTTTCCGCCGCACCGTTCTGTTGTGGTGAGTAAGGCATCGTGACACGAAAATTGATACCATTAGCTTGGAGAAGAGCTCTAACTTCTGCATTATCAAACTCCTTTCCGCCATCGCTAAGAAACTCTATGATTTTATTGTTGCATACTTCAGCTTCCTTCAGGAATGTTCGTAGACATTGTACCACTTCATCCTTCGTTTTGATAAAGAACACTCGACGAAATTTCGAAAAATCGTCCTTAAAACAGAGGAAGTATCTGGAACCACCCAACGAGTTCTCTTGCATGGGTCCACAGACGTCGGCGTGGATTAATCCTCCTGGTTTAGTCGGTCTGTTCTCTCTGGATCTGAATGGCACCCTGTGTTGTTTTCCAAAAATACAACCCTCGCAGAAATTTTCGTCATTGTCCTGGACTATATTTACATCATGACGTTTCAAAACTTCTTTGACATGTTTCTTATTTTGATGACACAATCTTTCATGCCATAATTGAAGGCTTCCTGTCGAGGTTGCGATGTACACATTAGCGGAATATTCTGGAACACATACTTTCATATCCAGAGAATAAAGGCCTCTTGAAGTCCTAGTACCTTGCAATTTGACGATACCGTTCTTCATAATCGAACAGCCAGAGTGATCGGCTATGAACTCGAAACCCTTCTCAATGGTTTGTCCGACAGAAAACAAATTCTTGTTCGCTTCGGGTACGTACCACACGTTTTCTAAATGGTTTTTGTACCATTTTCCGGAAACTTTCATCTGGACATTTATTTCTCCACGACCGTATGCTTGAATAACAGCACCATTCCCAACAAGTATTTCTTTAGGAGAATGGAATGGTTCGTAAGTAAGGAAGTACTTTTTATTACTGGTCATGTGCGCGGAGGCGCCTGTATCTGCTATCCATTCATCATTTTGAGCAAAATCATTGAGATTCTCATTGAAAACACATGAGAAAGCATCTCCTTCAAGTTTATTTGGTTTACTTGAATTTGCTCCTCCCCTTTCTTGCGATTTCTTTGGACAGTTCCTGGAAAAATGTCCAATCTCGTGGCATTTAAAACATTTTCTCACTGGTTTAAATGGTCTGCTAACTTTCTTAGAATTCGCATTTTTCGGAGAAGATTTTGCAACAAACGCAGATGATTCAGTGTTTACAGGTTTCGCAGGTAATCTCATTTCGATCAGACGCAGACGTTCGGTGAGTTTGTTTATAGTTCTCTCTTCAACGGGTACGGACTCCCATACACTTTTGAATTCAAAGTATTCTGGTGGGAGCGTAGACATAACTCTACTCATGAGCAATAGATCTGGCAATTCAGTATGCACAAGTCGTTTCAATTCGTCGTTTAATTCTCTGAAATTTCTTTGGAAACGAGCTATGTGTGTTGCTATATCTTCAGTTGAATCCATTTGGCTACTGAAAAATTGCTCCATTAATCTATCAACACGTTGTCCAGAACTTTGTTCATAAACTGATAAAAGTTTATCCCAAATAGCATTCGCGTTATCACAAGTTGCTGTCAACTCCACGTTCGCGTCATTCATACTGCCTACAAGTATAAGTTGAGCTAGTGCATCACTTTTCTTGAACTTTCTCAATTCGATGTCATAACTCGCTTGAACATCTGCTGAGGCAGTTTCGGGTGGCTTCACAGGTATCGTGCTCTCACCTTTCACTATATCGATAGTTTCATGGTGACTTAGTAGCAACTCAATTTGCCTTCGCCATTTCATCCAGTTCGAAGCTCCTTCAAGTTTTTCAATCTGCGGCTTGAAATCCATATTGAAGATATGTTATGACCGTACACCGACCAAATAAAGAAATATAATAAGACTCTATTCTCCGTTCAGTTATCTCCCTTTTAGTAATTTGCGTCTTCTGAGCCCATAACCTGTTAAAATATATCTAACCACGGAGTCTTTCTGATCGGTTCTTAATTATTTGAGGAAATTTATAAATATACTTTTATATAAAGCTGACGTATATTTCAACTCAACACTCTGACATATTATATTATTACAGTCTTTCATATTGAAGTGGCCTTTAATATGCACCATGAGTCGTATGTGGTAAAATTTATAACGACATGTAGGTGAGATACAATGGGCCACTAGGTCTAAGTGTCGTCGGAGACATCGGTCAGACATCGGGGTGGAGTGTTTAGTGGGTACCATGGAGGGGACTCCCACACTAACATATGGGGGATTGGACCCATATGATGTCTATAAAAGATTTCAACCACCTCGGCGAAAAAAAAAACGTAAGGGTGCTCTGTCTAGGAGCATATGAGATCGAAGAAGGAGATTTACTCTCTTTGAACCATCCCATATCCCCAACTTTCTGAGGGGTATAGGACTATAGAAAAACAACTATGATTATTGAGAAGTCTTAGGACAGAAATAGCAAGAAGAGGGATACATACAATGCACTGTAGTAGGAACGATCATTTCAGCCATATTGCCAAAGATAGCAAAGTTTCTCAGGTTAGAAACACAATGAATGCATGATATTAGAATGTTCTGCAACTAGTAGATTATCATTTACCTCCTGGTTCTCTAGGCTCAACCTGAGATTCTCTTTACGTAGTTGCCTCTTGCCAGTCCTCGATCCTCTATCAGCGTCTGGTATTTCGACGATTATCTCCGTGTGGGCGGATTTTTCAGGGAAACTGGCGGCGTTGAAGTTGGCGGAGAAAGTCCTCCTGTGCCCATTGTCATGGACAGGCACTTCGAGTTTTTTCCTTCTGGATTTGACGGGCAGTCCGTTCGCGTCTGTCGCTGACATTCCACGGCTCTGTCACGACAGCCAATTGGGATTCTGGAAGGCTTGGTGGAAGATTTTCGTTATTTTTGGATCAGATTTGGCGTTTTCCATTGGTAAAGTCAGGGCCCCACTTTTCAAATTTGAGCTAGTTTTCCGACAAATGTCTTGCTTCTATCCTCTTCGAGTTGGTATCTAAAATACCGAAAAAATTCAAGGGGTGATTCATTGTGATATTTTAGGAAATAAAGTTCATATGAACATGTATCCTAACTTGCTTTCTTTTCGAGATGATATAGTTGAAACGATATCAATCAATTTGGGTAATAGATATGTTTTTCAACACATTTTACAACCAATATTCCTCCAATATTGAAGCTGATAATCCATATTCAGCTCAGGTTGAACAAATATTCCACCAATATTATCATTTCGATATTGTATGGCCAATATAATGTCATATTTGACATACAGTGTGACCCATTTAAGATGGAAGCACCCTTATAAAACTTACATTTTTCAACCGATTGGAATGATTTTTTTTTGTTAGGTAGATATTCAAAAAGTCTATTAGGACACCAAATATCATGGATAAATCTCCATTTCCAGGGCCAACTAATCTGATTTTTCAAGGTCAAAAATCTAAAAAAATTACTAGCGATTTTTTTAGAAAAAATCTGACTACACCACTGGATTTGTGACATTTTCAAATGGGTAACATGTAAATTACGTTGAAATGCGTCAATCAATAAAAAAGTTATGAAGGAATGAAATTTGAAAAATATGCCGTTTAATTAACCCACCAATTCATGTTCAGGAATTTTATGAAAATTCTGTATACTCCACTGGATTCAGGATGTCTTGAAATATTACTGATCACAGTTTCATCGAAATCTGTTCAGTAATAAAAATTGATGGGTTGATTAAACGGCATATTTTTAATTTCATTCCTTTATAACTTTTTTATTGATTGACGCATTTTAACGCATTTTTTTAGAAAAAATCTGACTACACCACTGGATTTGTGACATTTTCAAATGGGTAACATGTAAATTACGTTGAATTGCGTCAATCAATAAAAAAGTTATAAAGGAATGAAATTTGAAAAATATGCCGTTTAATTAACCCACCAATTCATGTTCAGGAATTTTATGAAAATTCTGTATACTCCACTGGATTCAGGATGTCTTGAAATATTACTGATCACAGTTTCATCGAAATCTGTTCAGTAATAAAAATTGATGGGTTGATTAAACGGCATATTTTTAATTTCATTCCTTTATAACTTTTTTATTGATTGACGCATTTCAACGTAATTTACATGTCACAAATCCAGTGGTGTTGTCAGATTTTTTTCTAAAAAAATTGGTAGTAATTTTTTTAGATTTTTGACCTTGAAAAATCAGATTAGTTGGCCCTGGAAATGGAGATTTATTCATGATATTTGGTGTTCTAATAGACTTTTTGAATATCTACCTAACAAAAAAAAAATCATTCCAATCGGTTGAAAAATGTAAGTTTTATAAGGGTGCTTCCATCTTAAATGGGTCACACTGTATATTATTTCTCACATGTACGATATATATATTTCGGCCCAATATGAAATCGGGTTCCAGCCAATATGATGTGCTAATTCACTTTAGGCCAAGAAATGATCAAATGAAAGTTATTGTCTCATTTTGAAGGAAACACAAGACATTCTTCAATCTTTGAAGTGCTACATTTAATCAACATGGAGAAAGAGATTAATTACATTTTTATTGAATACAAACAATTCGATTTTCGATTCCCAATGTGCAAAATACGAAATAATCAATCCATAACTGTCCTGTAGGTTAGGTTAGGTTACTTGTTGATTTTTTAACATTGTCAATTTATTGGTTATGACAATAACGTTATATGAATATGTTTTAATAACATGAATTCAACGATTCGTTGATTTTGTTGAAAATACGTAGTTTTCAACTTCAACATAACTTCTGATTGAAGGAAACCGTAATTTCTCGCATAATTTTTACCGGTATTCAACGGATGGTCACTCAACCATTTATCAACGTTTATTCGACGTATCTAAATAGGTTGCTATCGCGAATAATAGGGATGGATCCTTCGAATAGTGTAAGGTGCAATGAACGGTGACCTAGTTTTCTATCAAATTCCCCCTATGAAATTCCAATATTCACTTAACTGACATTCAGTGCGCAAGAGTTTTAGTGGTTTTACCAATAGAAAACACTCGTCATGTAAGTGGAAGTTTTCCAGTCCAGTAGTCTAGTTCCCTTTGTCATTATCCTGATATCCTTGCAGAACAACCGAAATATAACACTGGGCACTCGTCACTAGTCAATTCGCTCATTTTTTCGATGTATCAAGAAATCAGTATCTTTTCGAACTAATTTTGACAGTAATTAACGCGTTATATGGTACACAGTTGATAGTAAACATCGTGGATACTTTGATATATTGTTTTGAATGGTTGCTATAGCGACGTAAACCTACGGGTAGGGTACATGGTGCATGGTGGGTGTATGATATGCCCCTTTGTTTGTATCGAACTCCAATACAATTGTATCGAAGGATCCTAAAGAAAAAAAAAAGATTTTTGGGAAATCAAAAGTAGAAGTTACTTGTTGGCAACCGTTATTACCACATAGAAGAAGATTGAATATACCCTGCTTAGTTGTACGATGAATTTATGTTCATTCTGAATTCTGAATTTAGGAAACCCAATCACGAATATGTGATTAGAGGTCTGTAAAAACAAATTTCCATCGTTCAAGTTTGAACCCCTTCATTGGGTATGGAAGTACTGAGTATATAATATTATGAACATAAAAAAAAATTGATACATATAAAGAAATATACAGGGTGGGCCACCAGTAACGCCTCGGTCTCTAGAAGGCTAACCACTTATCTTCTTGGAATTCTTCCTCTCTAGAAAGTTGCATGTCAACATAGGCTACCATTTGAAATTATTTTGAAACATACAGGATGTCCCCAAAAATCACAAAACACTGAATTTGAACTTTTTTCAAGCGAACACCCTATATATTATTTCATTTTGAGATTCTTCCTGGTGAGCTGATTTCAACAATCCATCATACTTGGGGGTCTAGCAGTTATAATTACTGAGATATAGGGTGTGAGAAATCGAGATTTTCCAAGTTCAAGAATTTTTTGTGTCTAAATCATTCATAATTGGTCAAAACGGCTCACATGTCCCTATCTCAATTTTTGATCAACTATCTACTGACATTTAATTGAAACAAAAACAGGGTGGTACAGAATTCAGAATCTTGATCACCCGGTATATGTCCCAATTAAATATCAGTAGATAGTTAATCAAAAGTTGAGATAGGGACATGAGAAGCCGTTTTGACCAGTTATGAATAGTTTCGACACAAAAAATTCTTGAACTTGGAAAATCTCGATTTTTCGCACCCTATATTTCAGTAATTATAACTACTAGACCCCAAGTATGATGGGTCGTTGAAATCAGCTCATCAGGGAGAATCTCAGAATGAAATAATATATAGGGTGTTCGATAGGAAAAAGTTTAACTTCAGTGTTTTATGGTTTTTGGGGACACCCTGTATGTTTCGAAATAATTATAAATGGTAGCCTATGTTGACATGCAACTTTCTAGAGAGGAAGAATTCCAAGAAGATAAGTGGTTAGCCTTCTAGAGACCGAGGCGTTACTGGTGGCCCACCCTGTATTGAGAGTTCGCATTTTCTATCTGTTGAAAATATTAATTCTTCCTCAGTATATTCAACAGAAAAAAAACATACTTTCCTGGCTATATGCCACGACGATTGAATCCGATCTATTGAACACACACAATAAGAACTTGAAAATGAAGTCTTCTGAAGTTGAGAATGTGCCATATGTACTAATTTTTTTTTTTCATATCCATAATATATCTGATATTGTAAACCCTATTCAACCATATTCAGCCATTCGCCTGATGAGTGATGCCACACTCACTAATCCTTTGAACACCTTAGAAAAGTCGGCGACCTCTTATTTAACCATATTTGTCCATTCGCCTGGTGGGTGATGCCACACTCACTAATCATTTGAGCACCTTAGCAAAGTCGGCGACATTATTTTACTCTTCTATAGATACTTCCACGGGAAATGTTCCTCAGAAATGGCTGCTATAATTAAATCACTAGCAATATCAGTTACAGTCAGACGAACTCGACGAGTCCAGTCAGCACATCCTCGTTGTCAACCTTGATATATTTCGAACAATACTTTACCAAAACTCGTTCGTCTATTATAAAACGGCAAAGCTTCGAGATTTCGAGCCAATGGAAGTATTGAAATAATCATAATAGGGATGCGAACCTACATACCGAACACTGCAAAGAGAACATCTTCCGATGAGGCGTGGTTCAGTAGAAACTGCTCTAGAGCTGTCGCATCCAAACAGGCAGCATTCCATCGATGGCAGAAAAATCCAGGCCCTGAGACTATAGCAGAATATGTCGAGGCTAGAGGCATATGCATTATGCAATGAGACAATTCGATCATAAAAGGATGCTCATAATACCAAAATAAGATCAAAACTTGTTGAATGTCCTAACGGATCCCGTATATTTTGGTCTTTCGCCAAAGCTGTAGAAAGAAACGTACTATAAGGAAGATTTTATTGGGTCTCAACACCAAGAAAGCTTGTGGCTCCGACGGAATCCCACCGATTCTTCTCAAGAAATGTGCTCCCGAACTAACACCTGTTCCCTGCAAGTTGTTCAACTACTATCATGGAGAAAGCTATCAACATCGAGCCTAATGAAGTACCTGGAACATCCAGGTATTATCAACGATAGGCAATATGGTTTCCGTCATCAGAGATCAACTGGGGATCTGCTCGCTTACGTTTCACATATATGGCAGCAATCTATTGAAAAATATGGTGAAACCTTAGCCGTGGCACTTGATATCTCCAAGGCATTCGATCGAGTCTTGCACCACGGATTCCTCGCCAAGCTTCCATCTTATGGCTTGCCTCCTCAGCTATGTTCTCTGCTAGCTAGTTTTGCCTTAAACAGGTCTCTCCATGTAGTGGTCGACGGAGTTTCATCTGACTCTCTTATCATAAATGCCGGTATTCCACAAGGATCAATTCTATCACCAACAGTATTTCAACTCCATATCAACGATTTGTAGGAAGCAACTGCATGTCCAGT